TGAAACGCTGGAGAGCGCTAGATCGATAGCTATATCCCGTGCCCTCGCTACGCTAGCGTACGCTAGCGTACGCTGGTGACGCTGGGAACGCTAGATCGATATCTATCCTTTCCCCGACACTGCCGCTGGCGTACGCTGGAAGCTACGCTACGCTGCCGCAAAGTATAAACGCATGTGACCGATGTGACCCCCCCCTACGGATACCGAGTACGACCTCCCTCGCTGGGGGTCTGTCAACGTACGACGTGCTCGCCACTTCACTTCGATGCTTCATCCGTCCAAAAGTGAATGGACAAATTTAGTGGGATGACACGTGCTGTTCGAATACCTTGAGATATTGGCTCCTAATCCGAACAAAATAGCTTTAGGCACCATTTCTGCGCCTACCAGAACAGCAACAAATGAATGAAGCTTCCTGCTGTGTCAACCTGACACAACAGAATAGGCAGGGAGCCAAAGAGTATCTGCAAAGAGGCAGCCTTTTCAAAGAACCGAGTTGTAGGGCTATTTTGACTTCCACAGACTTACTGTAAGAGGAATAGTGACGCCAAATACCGAAGAATGGTACACCCCCTCCCCAATTAGAAAGCGGCAAGTAACATAAGAAGCAGGTTACTTCACAGGCGCTTGATATTTTGCGTCGCACGAGATGCCACGAACAGCTTCGTGACAACAAGGAATTGTTGAGCAACATTCCACTATTACGACTCCCAAAACTCAGCGAAAAAAAATTACGGCGAAATTTCGCTCTAAGAGCTTATTTGGCATCCTGATCACGAATATGATATCCGTTTTTGGCGCTGGCACAACTTGGCCGAGATAGGCACCAGTTTGGCGCCACGCTGTTTCCCATCAAAATCGTTTAGAATCGACTTAAGGGTTACTTTGCATCGTGATCACGAATACGGCATTCATCTCAGCGAGCGCCACTAAAGGGCACCTGATCATCTGCGCTCTGCTGAGGCTGGGCCTGGGGGACCAGGTGAGATCACGCTTTCACTCAGGCTTAGCCTTATGTTAGCAGAGAGTTAACGCCACATTCATGATCAGGACACTGAACAACACCATTGCCAGTCCCTGGAGGCGGAGGTGGCGTAGTCGCGAATGGCTCGCTTATTACGCGCGCGGTACGGCGATCAAATCCATCGGGCCGGGCCCTCCCGCCCAGGCCAACCAAGCGCCTATCCCACGGGGACGGTGAATTGGTACCAGATTCGTCTGGGAGGATAAAACACTGACTTGTACATCGGCTGGCCCCCGCAAGTCATTGTATAGGCCACATCGCATTCAATAAGCCACTACGATTCTGAATGGAAGTAGTATAAGGCGTGACGCACATCAAAAAGATATTAATTAACGGCTGAGCCTTCACCTTATTCTTTGTTATGCCATTTTCTATCAATCTTGGTGAAAAAAGGTATCGGCGCCTGTTGGCGTTAGGTAGCGCCAAGGACGAAGACGAGTAGCACGTTCGTGACCAGAACCCACGATTACCCCCAAACAGAAATTTGCAGCGAATTTGTTGGGGAAAAAAGGAGGTGCCAAATGGGCTCAAGATGACGCCAGCGCGAAAACGAATATCACCCTGCGATCAGGGCGAGTACAGGGGGGGGGGGGCAAAAAAAGTCACTTCGACCGAGTCACATATCAGCAAAGTTTTCGCTGCCCAGACAGAGGACGTGGATACGAGTACCAGGGCGGAAGATACCCAAGATGTTCCTCGATAAGCAGGAGCTGGCTCTCGCCCATCACCTTCACCAAAATATGAAGTCATCTCCAGTCGCAGCCTGACTGGAGAAGACCTTTGGAATTCATGTCACCTCCAAACAGCTGCGAAACTTCTAGTGTGGAGTCACCCATGGGTAGCTACCTGGGGAGACAGTGCTCTCTCGATCTAGAAGACCCCAACATCTGAGAGAGGCTCGCCGACATCGCTGGACGGGGTAGGGAATACATTCTTGACGAAGGTCGCAAGGGCGTCGCCAGGCGGGTTGATGGTATGGACCGGACGTACCTGGAATGGAAAGACCGATATTTTCTTCGTGGACCCCGGACTGAAGGTGAGCGCTGGCGGTTACATCGAGCAACTCGAGAAGAATATCCTCCCACATGTCGTCGCCCGTACCTTCTTGGAAACTTTGTACTGCTACAGGATTGGGTGACACCACATGGAATCGAAGGGCGTTGGAAAAACTCTCGCCTACTTGGAATGGAAGGGCGTTGAGTACCTGAAGAAGATGGAATATCTAAGCAGGTCACCTGACCTAAACCCCCTCAATTACCTGGTTCGGGCGGAGTTCAATAGGGTGGTCTACAGTGGCGGAGAAATCAACGATCTCGCTGAACTCAGGCACCGAACCATGGTCGCGTGGCAGAATCTCTCGATGGCGCTCCTCCAGAAGGCTGTGGCGGAGTATCATGATAGTATTTAATATGCTCTTTAATATGGTGGTAGAAATGTCCGATAAGAATTTGCTAAAGTGTAACTTATAGCGCCTCGGAAGTCAAGAGGGAAAAGTGTCTTTCTATACGACCCCCCCCTGTAGGCGCCCTTGAGTGAATCCCCAGCGAAAAAATGGGGTTTTTGGAGTCATAATAATGCAATTACTGCCAAAATTTCCCCGTCATAACGCTAGGGTTGGTTCGTGTTGACCCAGACTATGATTACCAAAGGTCGTCGGCACCCAGACTGACCTCAGCGGACAACCGCGGGCTGAGACCTCACGGGTCTGCGCTGAACGGTACACGTGGAACTATTTTGACTGCGTACGAGTGGGCATGCATTGGCGCCTAATACGCAGGCAAAGACGTCGTGGTTCTGCTGGCGATGTCGTCGTGTTCACTTTTGTGGAGTGCAAACACATTCCTCATTTCAGTCCTCAACCCTCAGCTGGCTAGCATCGGCTCATTTGTTGGTTAATCTCTACCGTTTGTTATTTGCCATATTTCTTTGAATTAAAGTCGTAACCATAACTTGTTGAGTTTGAGAACTCCCGCTTGTTTCCAGGCACTTCAACTCCTCCATTTTTTTGTCTTAGGATATCTGGCACACGAAAAGCCTCCCCTCCTTCCTTTATTTCTTTCTCCTTCCTTCTCCCTCCTTATCCTTTATTTCCCTTCCTTTAAGTAGGCTTGACCGGAAGATGCGATGAGAAAATACCACTGGACCCTCGCAGCGAGCGAATATCCGGTTGACAAAAACACGGTAACCCGGCTTGTTAGCTTTTTCCGATTAACAGTGAACTGCTACCTGCTAGAGTCTCGTAACGGGCCATGTCTCGATGATTTTTTTTAGTGTGGGCAAAAAGCCATGCGATCAGCTGACTTTCGCCATGTTTCCAGCTTGAGCAGAGGCTTCTATTCTCTTTTGGGCTAGATGATCGCTGATCAGTCCTTCTTAGGCATAGTGTTCGCCTCCTAACAGGAGCTCACCTACTTTCAGAGTGTCGCTCGCCTAGAGCGTACTTGATAAGATCGCAAGGGTGACATACGTACTTATAGTGTAAAGTACTTCTTGAAGTGACAGAGCTTATGATGATGAGTTCATGTGATTCACTCCGTTCGGTTCATGTATTTTATAAGTACGAATTGATTGGAGTTTCCTTTTAGTTTTCGTTTGACAATTTTTAAATGAACTGAATCTCTTGCAGGGTTGCTTTGGTAAAAACCGGAATATCAATTATGTCGTGGATTTGGGATTGGTTTTCTAGTGTGCTAAACTTCCTAGGTGAGCGAAGTATTCTTTTCATTTTTGTTTTCAAAAAATGATCTGATAAGCTTAAACCACATAACATGGAGCGTGTAGTCGTTGTGCGAGAGAATATCCCAGTTCTCCTGAAAACCCAGCAGTAATCTTTGAAAGAGATGGCGGCACTATGTTATGGGATCGAGTTTAAGTAGAACACGTCTCTTTCACAGCGTCCAATAATCGCTGAGCTTATCCGAGTGGATAAAAGTCGATGGCAGTAACTTGATTTCTACTCATTAGTAAGTGAATGTAGATCCAAAACCACACTGTGATTCTCTGTGGAGATTTACTTTATGGGCTTTCCAAAACAACCATTAGGCAGCGTTCAGACTTCGCGACGGCAGCGCCTCGGTCGCGCGTTCGGCGCGATCGATGCGCATGCTTTCGACTGCATCGATCGCGTCGAACGCGCGACCGAAGCGCTGCCGTCGCGAAGTCTGAACGCTGCCTTACATATTAACTGTCCTTTTCGGCGCTAGTGTAATTGGGATGGGTAGACCACTTGCCCGTGCCTCTGTATCCGTTCGCAAAAAAGGCTCAGATGGAGCCCGGGCGACCCGAGTCGATAAGGTAAAGTTTCTCACTAGGGAAGGTCGGTCGAAGTGGCCATTTGTAATGAGATGTAGCTCACTAGACGTGGTTTTGGACGCTGATCTCGAATCTGCCTTTGAAATTTGCAAAGCGATTCTCTGAACGGAGTTATGGAGCCGCGTTTACCACGCAACAGGTCATGGGATCGGATCCCTGCTGAGCTTAACTTTTTTGCTTCTTGCGCAAACGTGGCAAAAGTGGTTGTGGCGTCACTACTACATTAGCGCTCTCCTTGACTTAGGTAATCGAGAACTTTAGGATGTACAGGTGCCCTTGGCGCGCAGTGCAGACGTTTTCGCGCTGAGCGAGTGCCATATTCGTATTTATGGGGGCGAACTACGCCTAGGTAGAGGTTTCTAGCCAAATCTGGCATTTTGACCTGACTTCGAAAAGTGAAGCATCCATGGGTTAGTTCAGTTGATGTTCACACCTATTCAGCTGCAGATACATTCTCCTGCACAAAGCCTCGTCTTGCCACTTCTTACGCATTCATGTTGTTACTGCTCCAGTTTTCCTGGTATCTAAAAGCAAATTCCGTCCAAAGACAAGCAATCGACAAGAGACTGGCCCTGGAACTATTGGTGACCATCATTCGATCAACTGCTACCGCACTTTTCAAGTTAGGTCAAAACCTCACTTCTGGCTAGAAACTGTCTCCAAGGGTAGTTTTGCTCCCTGAACACGAATATGGCACCCATTTGGCGTTTGAGTGTTTTCTAGACTTAAAAGAGACATTCCCCACAAAATGCAAAACAAGTTCCCTTCCAGAAATCCGAACCCTTCATGGCATGCCGAAGCAAGACCATTACCACTACACCATGCCGCCGTTGAACGTAAGGGTTCTTCCCGGCTATTCATGCGAACTGGCTGGCAACCGCGCTCGACTCCGTTTTCCTTCATTTTAATTCTAACAAGCCATCATAATTCCTTTCAGAGAATCGCTCTGCAAATTTCAAAGGCAGATTCGAGATCAGCGTCCAAAACCACGTCTAGTGAGCTACATCTCATTACAAATGGCCACTTCGACCTGACGACCTTCCCTAGTCAGATTAGATATTGTCCCCTACCCCCTAAGCTTGAGCCTTGATTACGAGAAAGGGTACGTAGCGCTGGCGAGAGATACCCCCTCCCCTCTAAGCTATGTTGGTCCCCATTTTCAATGGTGGTTCGTGTATCTTGCTGACCTCAATTTAAGGCGTGCTTTCTCAAAAGTATGTATAGTCTTTAACACGTTCCGGACCGCGTGACATACATGACAAAAATCACAAATTCACCTGTGTGTAGTGCTTTATTCGATTAATTTGACTTGTCTCTCATGTTCTAATGTCGCCAAAACACGCTCTCGATCACGAATTCCTCTTAATAAACAGTTGGAAAGAGGTGGAATATTTCTGATGAAACTGACGATAAATGATGAATTCTTCGGAGGTGCGCGCTGTTCGGCGGTCCGCAATGAAAGGAATTTCAGATTCCTCCAGTTTTTTGCTATTGAGGTGCTGATAATTCCCTGCAAATGTGCAAACGTCGGCAATTGAATTTTGACATGCGAATCGATAGCTTATCATTTGAAAACAATGATGACGGAGGGTTCCCACACTGTGCAATACTTTTCAGAGCGCAATACATCCTTTCATCTTTGTTCAGCGTGGGCGGTCTGTGGTGGTTTCCTTAGAGTGCCATACCCAAGCGTCTGAGTAACACGGCATCTTTAACAGCTATCACATGCAAATTTGTAGATGATTCTAAATTGTCACGGAAAGAAATTAGTGTTGTAGATGGCGCCTTTGATCTTCGCTGGCCTAAGTTCTTGCTCGTGGGCGAAATAATAATTTTCCGAATGCAAAGGAGGTAGTCCTGTTGTGCATTGCACTTATTTATTGGTTTTGTTGTTTTAGGACTTAGTAAGAAGAATGGAAAGCTGGTGTTCCTTGGTCTGGACAATGCTGGGAAAACCACTCTCCTGCACATGTTGAAAGACGACAGAATGGCACAACATGTGCCTACTTTGCACCCAAGTGAGTATTTTTGTTAACTTCTCATCCGCTAGTGTTTGTCAGATGTATATGTCTATTATGATAATTGACATGGTTGGATACTTGAATGCTCGTTGCACGAATATTCTGATAAACCCCCTTGTCATGAAGTGGCACATTGAAATTGCGTTGCACGTGTTTGTGGTTAGGTGATGTAAATGTCATACTAGGCCAGGAACCCGACAAGGACCGCGTGCTAAACCCATGCATCGAGGCGCATTAAAACGTATAGTAGCCTTAGGTGTAATCAATTAATATCTGGGACTTCTGCACACCTTTCGGACAGCTTCTCGATTCGACTCTTCTAGAACTTTGGCAAATGCGATGAAAAGAAGAGGTGGACTTCATTCTAGAAACTTTTGCTTCAAAGGATTAAGTACGGATCAGAGGAGATGGTAGTTAGAAGCTGCTAAGTTCGGTGAATAAGCTGGGTACCGTCGCAATCCGTGATCGAGATCGTAATCTTTTAGAAGTAGCCTCATCACCACAAGGTCTTTGCATTACCGAGCTGAAGAAAGAAACCAGTATTGCTGACTGAAATCGAGCGTGAACGTCTTCCTCGTTTTGAAGTTGATCAGGGTATATTGCAGCTGTCACTGCCATGCTAGTATTCAGCTGCATCGCTACAAATCTTTGTTCCATGTCTCAAGTGTTAGCGCAGTGTTAGCTCCCTCGACTACGACGGAGTGGCCCTGCAGAAACTCATAATATGAGATAAGTCGCAGAGTCATAATATACCCGTCCACAAAGACTTTGAACCTTGCTCTGAAAATTTTTTCTGGTTTTTTTTTCTAGAGCAATTTGTTCAAATTGTCGTAGATCATTCTTTCCAGCTTTATAGAATATCCCATGTTCAATGCTCTTGATATATGAAGCAAGCTAATTTCAGCGTCTGAGGAATTGACTTTGGGAGGCATTCGATTCACCACTTTCGACCTTGGCGGCCACGCACAGGGTGAGTCAGTGCATTAATTTGATAATTCTTGGAGCAGCAGACAAAGTCTGTTTCTTTTTCACTTTTACAAAACGTTTCCTTATGAGGTTTGGTATATGTAAAACACTCAATGTAATTAGGCCATGTCAAATTCACACTGGCTTCATTAGAATAGTTTTCTCGTGTGCTTTCGTAAATATGATGCTGCGTTTATAAGGAGTCATATCTTGATCCTGATTTCACCCTTTCCTTAAATTGTGCTCATACTTTGCGTTAGCGTTTTGAGCACTATCAGCGGCTAGAAAAGTGGATGTATCGATCTAGTGTTTTGAAGGCACGCCTGGTATTTGGAAATGCTGTGTTGCGGCTCACATAGTTCTAGTAATATGGGGGGAAGCGATTTCGCGACGGGGAGGTCATTTCGCACTCTAGCCACCAGAGTGAGGCTTGTAAACCGAATTTAGTGAAGCAATGGAAGTACGAAAAGCCTCTCCGTCACTGAACTGCGCCTTATGATAGTAAATAACACAAGAGTGATGTAAAAAAAATTAGGGCAAACGCCCCCGAAGCGTTTTCATACAACCCGATGTTGAGCTGCGCTTGCACGCGCACAAAACGAAGAAAGGGCGTGTGATCGCACGGCTTTTCGTTTTTTCTTTTACCACTTGACTGTTGCCATTTGATGCAGAGTTGGTAGCACACCATCAGAAAGCCTAGAAATGAATGTTAGGCGTTGCGATGACCAGTAGCGGTTTGGTGGCTTCATCGCAAGGGGACGTGCATCCCTAAGGTGTTTTCGGGTGGCTAAAGAAATACATCCTCTATGCTTGCGGCCAGGACTACTAAGTCCAACGGAAGCGTTATAACATCAAATAAACGCGTAACGTACCTTCAAGCGTACACCAGCATTTTCAGCGGGTAGTTGCTGAAAACGCTGCCTTGCGCTCGAAACATTAAAGACAGCTCCCGCGATAAAAGTGTCATGGATAGTTGCTGTTCAATTATGAAACAGTAGCTGATAAGTAATTCCCCAAAGAAGAAAAAAGCAAGAAGAGTCCTCAAGAACACCATAAACAAAATCGCTCCCTGACAGTCACACCTTCCTGCGGTCTCTGTGCAACCCCTGGCTCACTTTACTTCATCCCCAATAGTGGATATCACCTAATGCAAAGAAAAGAATACGAAAAACAACAAAAACACGAGCGAAAAACACTTAAAAAAAGAAACTTTCGGAAACTTGACGTCCGGATTTGGTACGTGCAGAGGGGGGGGGGGTGCAGACTTTTGTGCATTCGAACTTTTGCAGCGCACCAAATAAATTGTAATCACTCGTGTTTTTACGCCTTCCTTGCAAAATGGGTTGCACTTGACTGAATGTGTTCATAATGAATAAAGTGTAATAAAGGAGACCAGAACTGTTCATGGGCACGAGCGCGGTCCAAAAAGGACATGCCATTCCGATTAGTGCCCGTCCTCCCAACAAAGAACAACTGAGCGGCTTTCCGTCGGAGGGCATCGTGGGCGGTCCAACTGGGCAGCCGTTAGAAACTAGAACTTTCAGCGGCTGTAGCTCGCTCCTCGCTCGCTGTGAAGTCGCGAGAGTGGGACAATCCTAGCTTGGGAGATTGTAGCATTTGGCAGCAAGGAGGACGACTATGTACTAACTGTGATGCGCCGGGCTGTCTTTAACGCAAAAATACAAGCGGGCACTCTTAAATGGGTTTTTCCCCCCCCCCCCCCCCAGTCCTAACAGGTCAAATCCAAGCCATTTTTTAGCGCTATGCATTTAGGTTTAATTGGCTTTATCTCCTGAAGTGAAAATATTCGGCTTCATAATACCGGGTTGTGCTGTTATGCGAGAGAAGGCAGATAGTTTTTTGGTATTTGACTAGCATTCAATCTCAGCAAAGTAGAAAAAAAACTGGTTTAATTAAACTAAAATAGACCTGCTCCACAAAACTTGTGAAAAGGAATCATTCACCGGTAGTGCTCATGGCTAAATATGTGTAACTGTGCTGCGACTCCAAAAAATCAACGTTTTACTTGTAGCCTATTTTAGCGCGTCGTGTCTGGAAAGACTACTTCCCTGCTGTAGATGCCATAGTGTTCTTGGTGGATTGCGCCGATTTGGAGCGCATTCCGGAAAGTAGGAACTGAACTCGAATCACTCATCAGAGACGAACAGGTATGGCCTAATACCATGTCTAATACACATCGCTAACTGTGATCAAATGTAGGGTATTATTTATTTAATTACAAATATGTACGTGTTCAGAGTAGCCGGGAGCTCGCTATTTTGGATTCTAAATGGAACAAGAAAAAGTCGACAGCTCTTAAGCGAAGAGCAGTTGAAGTGGCATCTCGGAGTTCAACACATGTGTACGGGAAAAGGTAGCTGTAATGTAGTTCATTTAATATTTTGAATGTAAATCCTCATTTATGAATTGCTATAATATCGATTGTGGAATCGTGCTATCTGATGACGTTAGACTACAGTTCTATGGTGCGCTTACACACGCCACAATTTTCACGACGCCTAATCCAGCAGTCTCCTAACCTCCTACTTCCCCATCTTCTCCCAGAGCACATCAGCGCTGAGGCATTTCCCCTAGCAAGGGGGGGGGGAGGAGTGTCGTATTTGGTGAGGAAAATTTTTTGGACAATTGACAGAGCAAGTCTTGACAGCTTTCTGTTTCAACCGGACGGCCAATAGGGGAAGTCGTATTTGCCTTCTGAAAGGAATCTGCGGCGTGGGGTTAAAATGCTGCCAGTTGTTGACTTTTCGCGGTTCGCTTTTTCCCATTTCACATGGCGGCTAATATATACCCCCCTCGTCAACTCGACACTCATTTTACTCAGTGGAGGCAACTAGGAGAGGGTGGGGGGGGTCATATCAAAGCCACAACACGGGGGGAGGGGGGGTCGTCCCGCCGACTGCGACGCAGAATCCCCAACCCTACGATGTGCCCTGTTCACTCTACTCCTGGTAGGCGCTAGATCGATACTACTTTCCCAATCATTTGCCTTGGCTACCCTGGCGTACGCTACTCAAAGTATGAATGCAGTCCCAGGAAGGGTTCGGGTTTTGTTCGAAGTCACGTTTTTTGCTCATAACTCAGCATTCCCTGTAACTATTAGGCTGTCCAGAAAGTTTCGAGAAAATTCGGTCATTTTATTCATCACATATCAACAACAATAAAAGCGAAAAATCAGTAATCAAGATAAAGGCCTTCCTTAGGCCACGATTTTCTCATTCGCAGGCGATGCAGGCAGGGTAATCGAACGCCTTTTTCCAGAAGGAAGCAGGCCGGGACGCAATCCATTCATCGACGCAGCCTTTGGCCATACGCTTGGACAGGATCCTGATGGTTAAACACTTAACCCGTAGCGTAAACCTGAAGACTCCTGAAAGCATGGTAGATTAGAAGCGGCTTAAGGTGTCAGATGGATGAGGCAGCCATTCGATTCCTAAACTCTCCAGCTCGTCCCTTGTCGCCTTCGCATGATGTGGTCGGGCGTTGTCCATGACGATGTGAAACTTGCCCGGTATTGATGGGAAACTGGAGCTCGGGACATTAGCTATCGTAGTTGCTCACAGAATATCGATGATGTTACAGTAGTACCCTCATGAAGGATCTCATAGTTGGAGCAGAAGAAAAACGAGAGCAAGTCCTTCTTGGCGTGGCAGCCACGCTTTGGAACGGGCTCTGGCTTTTGATCCGACGGCAGCCACTCCAGTTTCCAATCCGGGTTTTCGCATGAGATCCACTTTTCATCCTGAGCAATTATGAACCTCGTCCAAGTCGTCGTTCGTTCTCGATCGCTTCTTGCACACGTCGACCTCGCCGCACGCTCCCTTGCAGTAGGAAACCGCGGAATAATTCCAGGCCAGAGCCGCGGCAGACGCCGTTCCTTTTTCCAAAAAAAAGGATGCCCTGTTTTGAAAAAAAAGTAAAAGGCCGGATCGAGAAGTAGAAGTCATCCTCTCCCAACTCCCTCAGACTTCGGGCAGGATTGGCCCTCAATGAAGCCAGAACGATACTATTGTTGGAAGAGGGAGGCGTTCGCATCGAGGTGCTTCATCGAGGCTAAACTCTCCCATTGCGAAGCGGTCGTACCACCTGAAGCATGTTGCAAGAGAGAGGGTGCATTCTCGACGCCATGAGCGACAACAACTCATTTCCTCGCTTGAGTGGCGGAGCGGCCGGAACGGTAAAGATGAAGTAGGATACGTCGAGTGTCGTGTCTGTCGCACATTATTCGATTGATGACAACAAAGGCTAATGACGAAATGTAATATCGATCAGCTGCTGATTTGATCTACAGACAATCCTCTATCTTTCCATGTTTTGATCTACACATTTGCTCATGGCCTTCGCGCGCTACGCTTTTTCAAAGTGAGGCAGCGAAATTTTCTCAAAACTTTCCGGACACCCTAATATTTGAAGGCACTACTGACCCCCCCCCACATTTTGTGCGATCTCTGGGTGCAGTCTACCGAGTTAGCTGGGTACCGCCGCTAGACGCTTCCAATATGAAATTTTGACCTTATTCTCCACTTTCGCCTTTGCAATTTCGCCAAGATTGCACGTTTTCAGGAGAGGTGGCGCGCTCAGACTTGTCATCGCGGCCATTGGAAGTTTTCATGTGTTCTGTATTGCGACGACAGGGATATGGCGAGGGTTTCCGTTGGCTTTCGCAGTACCTCGATTGAAAGCAACTCATTGCGTGTGTATTGACTTATATCATCGTATGTTAATTCTATGGTCGAGTTCCACATGATTTTCTCTTAAATATCTTTAGCGCAATATGCTCAGAAACGCGTCTTTTTCTTCTTGCTATGCATCTTTTTGCAATTATACAGCGCCCCTGTGATCGCCGCCGTGTATAAAACCTCCCATTGACTTTATCATCCGATCATTCGCCGGATTATGTTTTAGTTGTTAGTAGTTTCGCCTAGGATGCAATTGTTTCACCCTCAATTTCTTCGTCTATTCATTCAACCGTTTGCAACTTAATTCTATTTAATTCGCTGGAGGCCGACACCAATGTTTCATAAGATTTGCGTACGCTGAGTTCTTCCCTTTTCTCTGTTACTAACTAGATCTTCCAATCTTTTGAATCCGAAGAGAGTTTACAAATCACAGTGATAAATATTCAGATACTTTTGATTCTTCATTTATTCTTTGTAACAGAAAACAATACAGGTTGAAACCCCCAATCCGCACCGAGTAAAAGGTCTGATAACGGTAGACAATGGCTATGATCTGAATTATGGCTGGGTACAGGCATGCTTCGCATAATAGAAAAATATGATTAAAAGTCTTACTGAAGTTTTACCAAAGTATAACATAACAAGATTTGAACAACATGATAAGGATAGATGGTGATATGACAACTTCAAGTTCAACAAATGAAGTGAATTCAATCAACAAGGTTCACCGTACGTAGATATGACTTGCCACTGGGAAGCGATAGTGTGTTCACTTTACCGAAAATCTCTTCTGCTTTGTTCGATGAAACGCTTGGTTGCACCATACATGCGTCTCTTGTATTCTTCCAGCCTTCAGGAGTCGCGACCTTCAAAGAAACGGGATTTGACGTTCATTGATTATCATGCGGTGACCGAAACGTACCGGCACACGCTCAGATAGCTGCATTGAGTCAATCACGCGTAGAATTTCGCTGAAATGAAAAGGATCGACAGCCCTATTCCACCGTCACGACATACTCGAGAAACTTTGCGCCGGAGCTCCGCCTACAGAGGTCGTTCGATGCGCTGATCGCGAATATGACAACTGTTGGCGCTGGCGTTATTTAAAGCCGCCACATTTATCATCAGGGTACAGCATCGTTGTGCGAAACCCATAGGGGGGTCGTACTTGGCCGCTGGGAGGGGGGGTCGTAATCTCAAGGGTCACTCAGAGCCGAGCAATGGTTCGACATTTCAGTTGATAGTGGGAGTGGAGCTATGGAAGTCAAGATGTTTAAAAAAAATGAAGTTTATTATGAGTGTATTCTTTACAGCTTTAAATGCTACGTTTAACAGCCCTCTTTTCATGGGAAATCCCCAAGAATGGGTTCGTACTTGGCCGCGGGGGACGTGGGGAGTATCGCAAAAGTAGGCTCGCTAGGCATCAAACAGTACAAAGGTGTCATTGCTAAGGGTAATGGAACGGACGGAAAGCTTCAGAAGACCCGGATGTAAATAGGAATACAAAATAATAAAAGATTTATTAGCAATATAGCAAGAATAAATAAATAAATAAATAAGTGTCAGTTTATAGCATGAACTCGTAAGTACGTAGATGACTAAATAATACGTCTCAAACAGATTCGTGCGTGTTGTCCTTTACAAACCCTAAACAAACATGCTTGCATGGATAAAAGCACCTGAAATTAGAATTTACACCTTTCCACCACCTCTGCGTAGGAGCCTAATGCACGGCGCACGGACCAAATCGATCAGAGATAGCCGAGCTCTCTTTCACTCATTTGAAGGGAAATATGTGTTTTGAAGGCACACTGAAGTTTCCGAAGGTGTATCCTCACAATGGCACATAAGGAGTCAATTTTTCGGGTGGGTCAGAGGGTGGCGCATCTGTGACCCATCTAAAATATCTCCTGAACTAGTGGGTCTTCAGAAAAACTGTAAAGCTTATTGGAAAGAGAAAAGATGAGGGGTTTCAAGACGACTTCAGTCCTGATGAAATTGCGTTTGAACGAAGCAGTCCTTGTGTGAATCATGGAAACCAGCTCGCGATTTACCCCTGGCCGAACCGTGACCCATCCGGAATATTTCACCAACGGGGGATTGTTCAGTTTGCAACTAGGTAGAATACACAATAGTAGAAACTTTGCCGTTGCATGCTGCTCACCATTCCTCAAAAGCTCCGCACCTAAAAAAGATATAACCCCCGAACAGACCCCAGGACGTTGGCAAGTCCAACAACCGCGCTCCAATGACGTTTTTCCAAAGAAAGCGGTCGCAGCCTTGCGCCCTGCAGCCTGATCGATAATAGCCAAGTATGGAACGATTTACTGCCGGCCTGGTTATCCTTTTTTCATTTAGCTCTGCATTTTTTGTATTTTCCATGTTTCGCTTTGTTGTGTCGTGCATGTTTTCATTATTTCCCCGTCACCATTCATTGAATGCACATCTGGGCCCTGACACGCTCACCTTGGGGCTATTTTTTCACCAATTCAGCCTATCAATGATCACCATTAGCCGCTATTTCAATTGTGTTCCTTGTTACAAGTTGCATGTCATACATAGTTATCGAACGAGGAGTTTTATTTTGAATCCTAAGACAAAATTGTAGGTAATGCGAGGCTGTTGTTCAGCCTCATATTGCATGAGGCTGAAACAGCCTTTTATTTCCTGTATTTTAGAGCAGAGTGCGCCTTTCGAGAATCCAGATTCCATTTCAGGAAGCCATTTGTGGTGAACATGCATCTGGTTGTCAGTTAGAGCAGGAGGGGGGGGGGTCGTATCTGGACCCTCTTCGAGGGGGGGGGGGTCGTACCCACACCGCCATTTGACACATCCCCATGCTGTACCCTGTTTATCATTTGAAAATTGATGCATACCTACTTGATGGGGTTATTCGGCATCCTGATCACGACTATGACATTCGCTCTCGGAATCCACGCCAATAAAGGCGCTCTAATCTCTGCGCTGCTAAGCTGAACATGGGAGAAGAAATCGCTTCTCCTTGCAGAATGAGACCTTGCAGATCGGCATAGTGCGCTGGTGTCGAAAAATGAACGTCATAGCCGTGATCAGGACGTCAAGTAACCCAGCTAAATAAGCACCAGATCCATCTCCAGTTTTTTTTCACCAAAACCTCTCTAAGCGAATTTTCAGCGAAATTTTACTTCTGGTTTTCACAGTCGTAATAGTGACGTAGCGAAGAGTAAGCATAACAAATAGTCCATCGAACAAGCTTTTTCTCGTTCTCCGATGCTTACTTCGAGAAGAGGGAAATCCACGAAACACCTTTCCAAATTTGCCAAGATGGTGGCTAATCTGCGTTCCGAGCAACACTTAGATCTACATAATTTTAATGAACTAGCTGACAAGAGCTAGTTGCTAAGCCTGTACGTGTCAAGCAGTCCCTTTGCCACATAACAGCTTGGCGGATTTGATGTCGTCACAATATTCGGAAGATGTTCCGTAAAATATACATCCAGCTGTGATACAGGCAACAGGACTCATCATCCATTGTATAAAATACAAAGGGGGTCTTCGGACGCTGGATAAAGGAGACATTTTAGGTGAGGGGATCGCATTTATGGTTAGCACGGAGTTTCTACAACGCGCTGGAGCGTCCTTACTAGCAATGTACTTAAATACGAGAGAAAAAAAATCCCGAATGTGACATGTGTCCACTACAGAGCGGTCATACCAAACGTAATCGCTTTAAACTGGCGCTGTAAAAAATAGTGACAAGACAAGAGACTGAAGAGGAATGTGTATCGACTTGACCAACCGAAAAAAATGCAGAATAGGAGACGAAAACACAACTCGTCAGCAGCCGAAGAAGTAAAATGCACTGTACGAGAACTAAGATTTTTCAGAATTTTTGTGTTTCCTCACAAATATGGATTTGTAGGCTAATGCCTGCTAACTCTCCAAAACAAGTATTTCCTAGAAGAAAGCTAATCCGATTGACAATAATCCATTGAAATGAAAACACTGTAGTTAAGACTTACTCAAAGTTTCTGCCAGTTGTTGCGGGGTAGAGTATTTGTGCACGAAGCTGTTTCTTAGGGTCGATTATGAAGACAGCACGCGCTGTGAGTGGCATTCCACTGCTATCCTTTTCTGCAGGATCCAGCATACCTAATGCTGTAGCCAGCGAGCGATCCTCATCAGCTATTATCTCGAAGGGAAAGCCTTCACCTAAAAAGAAGCCATTTAAGAAGCTATAAACTCGGCAGGTTGTGCCGCATCTAGTCCAGAGTTGGTTCTTGTCTGCACTCCGTCTACCTGACATTCTATGACCCCTCAGACTACACACATACCAGCTTTTCACGAGTAGTAAGCGGATGATCCAACATGATCCTCTTCGATAAAGTCCATCCTTGGCCAAACAACTAATGGTTTTTTTCCAGGGCAAGATTAATCACACCGATATGTCACGCGGCTCACTTACCTACTCGTAAAAACATCCTCTGAATAGGTTTGGGTGTGGGACATTCGGTTTGTCACATAGTCGGGACGGCCTCAGCGGAACAGTGCTCGCAATTTCTCACTAGCAATTCGGGGGTATCTCGAGTAATGTCTTATCATCTTGTAACTACAATTACTGTTCACATAAGGATCAGGTGAGCGCACAGCGTATCTCCAAGTTAAACGCAATAGCACGTTACTCGGCGTATAGATGTAGAACTGATAAATATCAGAACCTATGTAGATGAAAGTCCACAAGTGTGTGACTTTCAATCTGAAAAGCAGCTTTTTCCTCAGGTTTGTGCTCACTGACATATTGGAACGCTACGCAGCTGTGCCTATGTGAGCAAGCACAGCTGGGTAGCACTCCAGTGTGTAGAGTGCAGTACGGAGTACAAACCCGAGAAAAAGTGTTTTTCAGGGTCAAATCACACATATTTCGACACTTTCACTGCTCTTCATCACTGCTTTTGATCAACTCAGTACACTGAGGCCGAGCGACCTACAATGCATTTAATCTTAGAGATATGTTGTGACACCCCACATGGTTAGGACCACGATTGTTGAAGGTGAGTGCAACAACTTATGTTCAAGATCAGGTGCAATTGTACGTCATTCTGCGTGAGCATACCGAAATGACCAGAAGCAGTGCCTGTAGGGGTTGGGTTTAGTGCTGGGACTTGCGTCGCGTCGACACATTGAACGACTACTGACTAGAATGGATAGAATTTCTGCCGCTGATCAGCCCCTTTCGGGATATGGCACGCATTCGATTTCCGTCCAAAATCGTGGTACTTTCGAATGCGATGGGGCTTCTGAAATGATTAGCAAACAGCATATGCACAAGACAGTGCTTTCTTGCCCAACAAGTCTGATACTCTCTCATATGAATTGATGACTTTGTTTGCCCCGACGAGAATCCATCCAGACTTGCTCCCTGAGAGCGCATGTACCAACAAGTAAGCTTTTAAGTGGGGAAATTGCCCTACCCAACCTCTTCTACAATTCCGTTCCCATTCCACCTGTCCTGTCACGTCGAGTCTGAATGATAATTATATCAGAGATCATTTCATGTGTAAAAGATTGTATCTATGAAAGTGCGAGAATAAACCGGAATCACGTGACTCCCCATTATAGAACAGTAGTCACGGTCTGCATTCCTACAGAAGTCGATAGAGACCCAAGGAACACGAATTGCCGAACTGGATGGATTCCTTCGAGAAATGCCGTGTAGAAAATGATGGGGATCCTTCCAAATCGGAGGAAGCGCGAGCACCGTTTGTGAAAGGGCAAATGGAAGCGAAACTGGTGTTTGCTCAAGCAACTGAATGAGCACAGGAACAGACGGATACCACGCATTTGACTTTCTCCTCGATCTGGCTGTACATAATTCACACAGTTTGTGCAAGACACATTCTCAATGGAAGTGTGTAGGAACCAGAGGTACCGCAACGTTTCTCTGTTATTGTTCACTTCTACTCATGCGAGTAGTAGTGAACAGTAGTGCATAGTCACTTCCTGAGAACTCGATGGTCACGCCCACCACCTTTGTGGCGAACGCCTCCGATGCATTCAATGCCTTCGTCTTATCAGTCGTACTATTGATTCATTTTAGTTACTCATCCACATAAGTTCATCCTGATTGTATCACGCTACCATCTGTACCGCGGTCGTCGACTGTTTGGTTTTCCCCTAGTTAGCTAGGTTGAAACTTTCGGGTAGGTCCTTGCAGTCGGGAATCGATCGATGTTTAGGAGCGTTGGTTCATGACTCCGGTGCAAAAAACATACTAACGTCACCAGTATGGCTGCAGTATGCAGATCAAGGCCACTACGCAATGATAACATCGCAAACTCTATGCCAGTTCATCTTTGCTCCCTTACTGCTCACTTTTGATAAACACACCGCACTTGTTTTTAGAGCAAAATACAGGTTGCCTAGGTTGAAAATGGAATAATTTCAATTCAGCAAAAAAAATTTCGGTACGCATCTATGTTTTAAAGGGTTATGTTGTCTATCGCACTGTGGTCCTGAGGGAAACTGCAGACTGACTCCCTCCACCCCCCCCCCACCAGGCCAACCAAGCTCTTCATAAGTTTAGATCTGAGGCCCATAGTTAGTACCAGACTGTTAGGAGGATAAAAGCACAGATTTGCACATTGGTTGATCTACGCATAGCATTGTAGAGGCCCCATCGCATTCAAACGCCACTACGATTCCAAATGGAGGTAGAATGCGGCACTTATTCCACAGAAGACTAATTAATAACGGACGCTCCCCTTTGTCTCTGTCACTGATGGTAAAGCAGAGTGCTCCCACAGACTGGAATTGGGGGTTTCTCTTAGAGTTCAGGTTTCTTGCTGTGTTCATAATTTGCAATTCGAGCGAATCAGTCGCACACTAGGGTTGACCGTGCTCCACCGCTAATCAATGGACCGCTGCAATATACGTTATTAGCGAAGAAGCGTGCTTTCTAAACAGATTTATCTCGTGTTCTCCCATAACGTCGAACGCCAACGATCGGATCGGTCAATACCTATCCACCCCTGCGGCGCGCTGTGAAGCGCTCAATCGCCGGTTCTCTAGTTCTCTCTTCGCAAAGTATGAAGGAAACTTGAGAGAGGAGATTTTTCGAGGGTGATTGGCACTAATGAAGTGGACTCCCTAGGTCATCATTCTTTACTTAGGCCGTCAACGGTATCAGACACCTTCCAAAGTGTAAACGCAATGGGAGTCACAGCGTCATTACCATGGTGCCATGGTCCATAGTAACGACATCGCGCGGAACCTTGTAGTGTACTCCTAGTTTATTGACTTGACACAACGCAGCGCTACCAAGCTGCTTCGGTCTTGGTGCGGACGACCCCGTTCGCAGCGCCTGCTCCGCCGCACCGCTGTGACTCGAGTCTAACGATACTGGCGTAACCGGCAGCTACTTGCCGAGTATGGCCAGCATGGCGCTCAGTGCTTACTCGTAAAGAGAAGCAAAAGGCAACTGTGTCGCTAAATGAGGAAAATTCATCACAGAGTTTGGATTGCAAGCATGCACAAGAAAGTATAGCTGCCACGCAATACAGAATACCTCATAATTCAAACCTACTTGTGATGATAGGATTGTTCGCATAAGCTACGATATCGTGGATCCAGCCACGATGTGCCTCAGCCGAGTCGCAGCTCAGAGCAATCATTTGGACGTTTCTGTCGTGAAATTGCTCTGCCAGTTGAGCTGCTCGTGCCAGCTCCGTTGTGCAAACGGGTGTATAATCCGCGGGATGCGAGAACAGTATTGCCCAGCTGGAATTAGGTTTAATAGTGAATCCATACTTGGAACCCACGTTCCATGCTTACTCGTACCTTACTTGCACCGAGTTTCTTGTTTATAAGCTAAAACAATTGAAACCCACCTGTTGCCCATCCACTCATGGAAGTTATCGATCTTGCCAAGATTTGTCATGGCGGAAAAGGCCGGGAACGTATCTCCTAGCTTCATCGTAGCGACAATTGACTCTATAGCAAATGGATATACTAAGAGAAGAGATGACGATAGGTAAAACGATGGTGAGAAAATGACGGTCCCACGGAAGAATTGGGCTACAAACGGTGCGAAACTATTTCTTAGGCCACTTTCGTACTTTGCACATTTGCAGGATTCACGTTTACGTTTTGCTTCCTCGGAGGAAACAAGAATAGGAGTATTGCGCTAAAGGAAAATGGGATAGCGGTTCAGTAGTATATGTAGAAAACCAACAATGACGAGCCATCTATCTGGCGAGGTTCGTCTCCATCCACATGTCATGTAAGAGATGGAGTTAACTAGATATTCGCCTCAGACGGCGAGACGACGATGGAAGGGATCGTCGTGGGAGAGGACGGTAGCATCGGTGGGTCACAGTGATAGAATGCTCGCCTTGCCACGCGGGCGGCCCGGGTTCGATTCCCGGCCGATGCACCAAAATTGTGATGGTAGTTCATTGTATCTAGCAGAAAGGCGAGAATAGGCGGCCCGGGTTCGATTCCCGGCCGATGCACCAAAATTGTGATGGTAGTTCATTGTACCTAGCAGAAAGGCGAGAACAATGAGAAATTATAAGTTGATGTGGGGTTCACCGACGTGCAGTCGGTAGACGAACCCCTTACCCTGCAAGGTTCATCAGCCCTTACCGTATCAGGTAAGGGGCGGGGCTTATTAGAGATGTCTCAGACGATGAGACGGCGGGGGAGAGGGGTGGTTCCGAGACGACGACAGAAAGTATCGAAGTGGCGAATCGGGAAAGCAGGAAATCAGAAAAATTGGCGAGTGAACAGGGAAAGGCGCCGAAACCTTATTTTCCTTTGGCGGGTAGATTCCTATCCTCTATTCACAAAGTATGGAAGACGGGCAAGAGAATCGTAATTTGCCGCTCCGCCGCGCGCGGCGATGGGCGCGGCGTTTTCTTAACTCGTGTTAACCTGTCGATTGGAGCACCGGACTTCATGTAGACCCCGTCATCGTAGACATTCATGGCTATTTTCGGTTCTGAATTGCCTGTTGTCGCCATCTACTACCTGGAGCTATGGTCATTTGCGGGCGCGACGTAGGGGTAAATTACGATTCTCTTGTCACATACCCACAAAGTATGAGCGCACCCTAGCCACAAAGTACGATCATTTGAGTACATAACGAGGTAACTCACACGACTAGGTGGTAAGAGAAGCAACAGTACCGAGTAATGATGAAGCCAGTAAACAAAAGCTGCCAAGGAAGTACGAAAGAGAACTCCATTTGAAACAATAGCAGAATCGGACATTGTGGAAAAAGAACAGGGCAAAAATGGAGCCTAGATGACCGCGGAAGCGAAAAACCGACGCAAGGCATGTATCATCCTGGATTTTTTGGCGAAAGCTTCTTAAATAGGTCATCACTCACTGATCGAACTATGGAGGTGGTCCCTTTACATTATCTTTCGAAGCTCCAGGACTCGCCCGGGCAACCTGACCCTAACGCTGGAGGTGAAATTACGACGAGAAGGCGAGTATCAAACTACTAATGTCATTTAAATTAGTACGCAGTACGTAGTAGTAAATTAGTACATGAAAGTAGGTTATTTGAAGCTTTTTGGTCTCCTGCTCCAGGCGACCCCAATCATACGTATCCGAACCCCAAATTGCCACGAGTGGGTGGGATGAACAGCCTGGAGTTATTGCTACCAAACTTGGGAACAGGAGACCGCCAAGAAGGCGTCATAACCAGCAAGGGAACCATTACTTGATTTAACGTGTTGACGATTGTTAGGACATGTCATCTCGTCGCAAACTTGTTTACACAAGTCATTTACGAAAGCGCGCCAGTCCGACCTACAATCCCCTCGGATAACCTTCGCATTTCGAACCCTAATAAATAACCCTCCGACCCGGCGCTCTGATCTATGATCACTCTCGCCGTGAACTGAAAAATGCAGGCGCAGTGGACGATAGCGATTGCATCTTGCACATTATTTTTTTGAATGTCAGGGCAGTTTCCAAGGCGACGCAGCCGCAGACGCGGGGTATTACAGTAACCTCACGCCTATTTTATTCCATATATGGTTCTGAAAGTTCACAGCCTCGTTTTTTAGTGATTTTTTGCTCTTGAATCATTTCATAGTCGTCAATGTTCAAAGTGTTTCTAATTATTAGCTCACCACTAGGTGAAAATATCGTGCTTTTGTAGTTCTTGGGACAACTTGGGACGAATCTTTTGGCGGTTCGCAAACTTCATCAGAATTATGCTGTCTCTGAAAGTGACCGTTGTGTGATGGGTTCAAAGTGGGAACTGAAAATTAGTGTTGAGGTTCTTCGTGCTCAGATACAGTGCTCAGAGTTCCTGTGTTAAACTCGTTTCAACCGCTCACGACAGACACACAAGCTTTTCAACAACGATTTTTTGCGAATTTTAGTGTTGACACAGTTGTAGGGTTTCTGTGGTGAGGAAAAACTTCAGCTGAAACTTGTTTCGCTATCGGAACATCGGTCCGAAAATTACTGAATGGATGAAAAAGCGAGGGTTAGTAATGCGAACCTGTCGTCGTATTTTATATTCTGCACTCACACTCATTCTTTGTGATTTCCCTTCTTTTTGAGTCACGTGATAATGCGTTTCAACATACTAGTGCTTCATACATTAATGCGATAAAAAACTTTATGCACGAAGTAAACCCGACCTCATTCTGCATTTCTTGGAGCTCCCCGTCGAGCTACCTTCGTCTCAGGATACTTGTCAACAGCGAAGCCTATCTTCCTTCTTTTCTTCCGTTCCTTACTTCTTCCCTCCCTACTTTGCTTTACTCTTCGAATGCTTAATCCAAATAAGCATGGAAAAATTCTCTGGTCCTCTGCAGTTGACAGAAACTTCGGTTGACAGATGCTATAACCGAAGCTATGTTGATTTTGGATCTCCGTTTGATGTGATTATATCGTCGAAAACGTTCTAGCCGTTTGAGTCGACGATCAGACGAGTGGAAATTGACTTTTCGCGAAAGGGTTAGTCCGCATCGGAAAGCTTTATCAGAGGTCCAATGATCGAGCGATGGGGAGGGGGGGGGGGCTTTGGGGCGGGCCAAATGGCTGGCCGATCAACGCGAAGCTTCACATTGCCGAGCTGTCCGCTCCCCGTTCGCGACAGGACTGTTCTTTATTACTAAGATTGCAATTGTGGTGTTGTGGAATTGTGTCCAGTGGATGGCCGGTGGTATCAACCGGCGTGTCAGACTTCGCGACCCAAATCGCTCGACGCACTACGGACCGGAAGGCGCTCGCACCGCCAACGCGTTGCATACCCGCCGCATATGGCAGCAGTTCAAATTGGCCGATGAACGCTAACGGCCAATTTGAATTCTGCGTTGCGGCGCAGGCACTCGTATTGGGAATCCAACAACGAGGAGTCGTTTTGGATGGGAAAAATTTCTCTTGATAGTTGAGTAGAGAGGAGGAATTAACGTGCAGGAGAAGCATTAGAGGCGGCCGGATCGACTCGCGAGACGGAAAGGATGGGTATCACCTAAAGAGGGTGTCCAAGAAGTGAAGATCCGTGTTCATATGAAACGGGGAAATGTGTAATATAAACCAAGGAAAGCTTAAAGCATCGACTTTAGGAACTCGATACACGCAAACTGAAAATCGGGTCAAGCGTTAGCCGCAAAGAGTAAAGTGGTAAACAACCGCTCCATCGCAGTATTACAATGCATATTCTGTCGAGGTCGATGGTTTCCATTAGTGTCTTGAGAGGCAAACAGCGTTTTGTTCCAGTCGCTCTCAACGTAGATGGGTGGTAAAAGCATGTAGGATAAAGGAACAGCGAGAGCTAAGGCGGAAAGTCTTGCATTGGGTCGACTGGCGTGCGAGTAGAGAAAGAACTGGTTAGGTTAAGGGACCAGGATGAAAGGTCCGGAGGGGTATCAGATTAGCCGAATCAGCTTCGTAAGAGGCGTCAGGGGGGAGATCAGGCATCGTGCTAGAAGGCTCAGGGAGGCTGAAGATAAATCACGACACCGCCATCGCATCGATTTGGATACTCAACTGTCGTCATTGATCTTAGATGTTGCATCGTGTGGAAAAGGATAAAGATAGGTCAACATCAGTTGGCAGAAGCAGCGATTGAGGCAACAGCCTGTAAGATAGCATAATCCATTCTGCGTCAAATGCACGGTTTTTTATTATTATTTTGGTACACTGCTATCTCCTCCCTTCCTTACCGATGAGCACGGAGGGAAGATATTCCTTTTTTAGTACCGATTAAGGGCATGCGAAAAGGAAACTAAACGATTTCCTTGTAACCCCCCCCCCAACATATTTTGGCATATTGGTCTAAATAATTTTATTCTCTATTGGTCCGGATCAGAGGCAGCAAGCGGGTGGAAGGTACAGCGTGTAGAGAGGCTACTCGCACTCTGGGCCGGAAGACAACATGACTGAGCTTTGAGGATTGATGCGAGCCGCTTATGCATTCGATGGATAACAACGCGATGCGAAGATGAGTTTGAACGAGCAAGATATTGTACACTGGGTGCCATGGATAATCGGAGTACCCTAATTTTTATTCTTGTTCAGCACTGTGTGTTTTTTTGTATTTTTTGGAAACTAGTGCGGTTACGCGAATTCGCTTTACAACTGTTTTTTTAGCTTACCATGCAAAGCCATGGTTGCTTTTTTCAGAACTGTTCTCTACTTCACCGCACTAAGGTGTCTTCTTCTGATAAAAATTCCACCGTTCCAAAAGGGCTCACAAAAACTCTCTTCTCATCATGCATCAAAAAATCGGTGTATGAAGATATACGTCTTATTCATAGTTGTGCTAGAAATGTCTTGTGCTGCTTCTCTTAAGAAGAACAAGGACAAATCAGAGTACCTATTGACGTAAGATGGTCGAGGGAGAGGAATCGCAGCTCATATTGGCCGCTCTTCCTACTGCATAAGCAACTAGTGCGAAATGCTGGTCGCTACGGGAAGAGAAGCAGTTTTGGCCGCCCCAGGCTACTTTTAGTGCAATATGAAGAAAAAAAATCGGGCGCTCACTGTTGATTTCAGCGGTGGGCTTCAACAGAGTCCATGCTGAAATACGACTCTTGGTGAGCAGAATGATGGTGGAGAGAATCATTAGAGAAATGACAACATCACCAGAGAGTTGAGGAAGCGTGTCGTAAGGAGGACAGAGCTCCACACGTGTCCCTTTCGTCTTTTTCATCTTAGAGAATCCTTCAGCATATTGGACGAAGGAATGGAAATTACGGACTCGATCTTTGGCCCTGTTCCTCTCCGTGCTCCAGGGACCTGAAGCTAAGAAAAAAATTCAACTTAGCTGGACCTGACAGCACAAGAGGATTTGCAGATCTCTTCGTTTCACCACTGGTTTTCAAGCAACGCAATTTTTGTGGACGATCCCTAATAGTTTGCTGCTTTTCGCACACTTGGACAGCTCGATCCCGTCTTCGTTTC